GAGTTGACAACAGGGACTCATTGCTATGTATGGAGAGATCCATGAGAACCTTTGAAAGTTATTAGTTTGCTTGCGAGGAGCAGTTGTCACTTCATTAATAAATATCGGATGGTCAGTGAGACTCACAAACCCCCTGGCATCCCTGCTCATTCTTTCTGGGCCTTGAAACAGGCTCAGAAAGTTTGAAATCAAGCAGATGGATCCAGCTATGTCAAGACAAAAGGCATCAATTTTCTGGATTGCCGTGGCTGGATGGAGACTGGCTGCCCTACCACCCCAGGTTATCAGTTCAATAGCAGAAATGAGCTGATCTCATTGCCATTTAAAGGTGATTCAGGTTTGTTTGGTTCATCTGACTTTAGTTACAGTTCAAGTAGGTCTGTGCTTTCTTTTCGCTAGTGAGGGCAGTCAGTGTTATTCCTTTTATTTTGTAGTGGAAAGCCACACAAAACTTGGTTATTTTGGGGCTTTAACAGAAATGTTGAAGAATGTGAGATGGGTGCTCCTCTCTGACATCTTCAGAGCTTCTTACCAGCAAGCAGCTGTCGTACAATACACATGAAGAGTGTGTACACTGTGAATGGGATTGGTGCACCTCCAGCCTCCTAATAGACATATGTCTTTTATGTTACATGGATGGAATGGATAGGAAAATTAAATGTCTGTTTACTTAGACAGAAGTCAGAGGTAAAAAAGACTCACTTATTAACTCTGTGCAGGGTTTGGGAGCAGAGGCATTGTCATTTGTGGATAGGACCCCGAAAAGTTGCTGTAGGTGCTTGATGTCCAATTCTCGTTACTTTTTAGAGAGAGTTGTGTGTGCATATAACTCTGGCTCGCTTGAACTTTTCTGCCTCCATCATTTGTTGCCATCATGTTTGTTTGGATGTCAGAAATTGATGATAGCAACAGTTGGGACAGCTTTCCACTAGCTGAAGGTGGTTTATTTGATGATACGTTTGTGCATCTGGACACTGTTTGTGGGAGACTGATCTTCAGTGCAATTCATAGGGCCTAAGTCCACCCATCAGCCTGACTTCTGAAGAAGTAGAGGCTATCGGTTTCCAACGTCTTACTTCACCTTCAGGAGCAAACCTGTGTTGACCCTGAGGCTTTAGAGAAAAAAGAACCACTGCTTCCTTTGGTTGATCATCTCACTGCTGTGGTTTTTGTTTTTTTTTTTTTTTAGAAAGCCATGCAAGCCGTGCCTACTAGATGTCATCAGCGGGACTGCCTTTTTCCTCTGGAATTTGGCCCAAATTCTCCCGTTCTGAAGTTCTTGATTTTTGAGATTTGGGGGTTGTGTGTACTGTTCCACTTCTGTGCACCCGCTGGTATAATTTAGTAAATCTGTCATTTATGCTCAATATAACAGAGTCATTTAACTGCAGGAGCTCACCAGTACAATTAACCCTGTTCCGTCAAAACGAGGAGCTGATTATCTTGGCATTCACAGGAGCATAGAGCACAGTTAGAGTGCTGCAGTTTCTGGCCCTCCCAGAGCAGTATTGCAGTCAATTGATTATTTTGTTAATTTGTTCTGCATCAGTATCCTGCTGGTTTATTATCATCCAAGTGACTTTATGTGCCATTCATAAGTACAAGTATATTAAAAATCAATACTTGAACCTTTCTTCCTTCTGAGGATCTTATCATCCATGGGCTACCTTCTTTGATACATGACCTTCATTGTGATTACAGCACATCTCGTAACTTTTACATGATTTAGTAACATCCTAATAAAGTAGATGCTCGGATTTTGCTCACTACTTAATCCTGTATCCTAACAAAGAAGGAATAAATTAATTAAGAATGAAATAAGCAAAAGGCTGTTATTACTGATAAATAAGCCTAATTTTGAGACAGTAAAGTTCATGCTATTTTAGTAAGAAAATCTCATTCCTTCACTAGGTTCTAATAAGTATCATGCTCCACAGGCTCAAATCATTTAGAGATGCTATTATCAGAAGCCTGAGTCTTATGAACACTGTTTTTCCTGCTTTGGTTAGAGAAACAAGTATTTAAAAGATGGCATGAGGTTGCATTGTGAGTTGGATTGAGGGATGGATTCCAGGTCTGAATTTGGCACAAGTACATGGGATTATGGCTGTTACAAGATCATAATGTTTTCCAGTGATCTTCTACCATTGCACACGCGAAGCTGTTCTCTCTTGTGTGTGTTTTTGAAACGTATTACTTGTGACTTACTTGTGATACTTAATGCATTTATGTTATTGATGTCGCAGGGAGGCCTGCTCTTCTTTAAGAAGAAAACCATAGGATAGAAGCAGAATCAGATGCGCTCCCTCTCCTGATCTAGACTGGATATGAAGTTCTTACTTAGTGCGGGGCTATACGAGGCAACTGAACGAGGCAATTTGTAGCTTATGTAAGCGAGAACCTACCAAGGCCTTACCCAAACCTTCCAACTGATTTCATGACAGAAGTGCCTAATCTTTTTGGGATGCGATTGTATGAGTGACCATCATTACTGAACACGAGAAAAAAAGCGCTGTTTCTGTAGAGAAAAAGAGGCCACGGAATTTCTGAGATTGTTACCTCTGTGGATGGTGACGTCCTGTATGCCTTCTCGTCACGTGAAATATTCAGAAAACAGCCTACAGAGTGGGTTTAGTGCAGAGAAGGTTATGCCTCCTTGGGGGGGTATACTTCCTTGTCTCAGGAAATTATACTAAAATGTAATATAATATAATATGAAAAATAAATAATATTTTATTGTGAATATGAAACAAATCAGACAAATGAGATGATCCTGAAGAGGGAAACCAGCCTTGTGGCTACTTGTGAAAATTGCTCCCACACTTCCTCTGGATTGTCTTAAAGAAAAGCCAGGGCTCCAGAGCATTGCTTTTTAATTAGAAGTAGTCCTTTTGTACTAAATCCTAATTCAGCGCCTTAATGCAGCAGATCCTGCAGAGCCAGCAAGCTTGCGTGGGAGCACGAACACATGAAATCTTTTTCTCTGGCATCCCTCTAAGTGAGGGTTGGCTTCTGTTCATAATTATTTTCTGTGGTGACAGCTCGGGGTTTGCAGTCGCAAGCAGAGAGGCAGGGGTGGTAACGGGGGAAGGCGTAATGACAGGTGATTGCTCTGTTGTCTCCATGGCATCACTGAACCTTATCTTAGAGGTATCAAACAGTGTGCTTACACCTTCCCTTACTCTGTTCGGATACCTGGTGCCACTAAGTACGCCTAGCATGGGTCCTACCTTATCACCATCCTCTTTCCAGCTTGTTTGGTATTAGGTTTTTTCTTTATTTTCAGTCTGCTCCACTTTTAATGAACCTGCACAAGTAATGGAAGTGCACGCATAAATGAAAGCACCTACCAATTCAATATTTTATCATGTGGTACCTTTAGTTAAGGAGTTAGAATTCATACAAGTAGATTTTTAGAAACATTTGATACTGCCTTTTCTGGGCACACTGCCTCATCCTGCTCGCTATAAATTGGTACTAGGTTTTCAGGGTTATAATGAAGCAATATAGCTGTGAGGAAAATAGCTTTTAGCCCCCATCAGTTAGATCCCAGTTTCACCTCAGCCTTAGGCACCTCACTGAGCACTGCCTTTTGAGGCTCCTGCTTTAATTAACAGAGACAGAAGGACACCTCCAAGAATGACTCAACTGACCTAAGAGCTGATGTAGCCCTTGGATGAGTTTCTCCTCTGTTGATTTTGACTGACACTTCACTGCAACACTGCGGTGTAACTCCTGCGTATGTTGTCTTAATCAGAAATGCCAAAGCCACACATGTAGAAGAGGTTCTCTGAGTTACTAGATTTGTTTAATAACCATGCATTTTTTTCAAGAAAATGCCTAAGTAAATGTTAGGGGGTTTGCTGCCTTCTTGCTGGACCTCAGGGTGTACTTAGTTCATGGTTTTTAGCATTCCTCTTTGATCAAGAGGGCTAGATTTATTTATTTATTTATTTATTAAGTTTTGCATTAAATGCTGGGGCTCATGCTATCTGGGTTCCAGGTGTTAGGCTAAAGAGTACAAAAAGCGTATGCCAAACTCGACAGTACTTCTGCAAGGTCTAGGAATATGTTAGCACATATTATAACAGCAATGGCAACCATTCCATGATCTCCTTTAGGAGTGCTCTTTTACACAGGTACAAATAAGTTGATTACTGTCTGACATTTGTAGTTCCTACCTCCAAAGGTATTTGTGTGTTTAACTTTTCTTGTTTTCTATAGTGCTTAGTTAAATGTTTTTTGTGGATTTGCTGTGCATAAAGAAAAGTATCTCTAAAAAAACTATGGCTATGTTTTCATAACCAGTGTTTTTATATCTTACACTTTAGCCAGTCTGGTCAGTTTAGTGGCTTTTTTGCCATTTAGGTTTTCTTGCCAGTGTATTTATTTACCACTTATTTATTGCAAAGATGATCCCAGAAGGTAGATCTCTCTACAAAACATGTTTTTGAGAACCTCAGGAGTATGGTGAAAACACACAACCCCAGATATTTTCTCCCCAGCAAATCTCTTTCGGAGGAAAGGCTGTCTAATGCTCTGAAAATGCTCTGGAGGATGATCTGAAAAAGTAAAAGCAAGGTTGAATGCCTGTAGCTTGGAACAGTGACATATTGGGAATTTGTTAAATAATTTTAGCTTCTAATAACAACAGTGTTTTTATAGTGGTGGCTATGAAGAAGTATGGCAAGGAGATCCCTGACACTAATGAACCCTCCTTCTTACGCAAGTTCTCACGTATCTAAACATGTTCAAGCTGTAGCTTTCCTCCACACTTCCGGGTGTCTGTCCCCCACATAGCCACCATAGTAGTCCTTCAGCTCTCTACATCTTTGCAAATTTTGACTGAAATCAACCACAGGTTTAGAATTTGCAAGTGAATGACACGGACACAGATAATGTGATTTCACAATCATTATCTGTCATGAAAATAAGGTTAAAAAATCTTTGTATCTGTGTTAAGAATGTTGACCTAAAGATGTAAAAATTAACACTTCCAGGTAAAGAAAGCTGTACAACAGGAAGGCTTCAGCAGAAGGAAACGAGGATATAGAGACATCAATGACATTGACATCAACATGAATGATCCTTTATTTACGAAGCAGTGGTACCTGGTGAGTTCTGAAAGAACACAGTAATTGTCACTAAATAACTGGCATTCAAGCCATTCTGTGCTGTTGCAATGTTTTGCAAGAGTTCTTTCCAAATATGTCACAAGAACTTGGGAATGGATCCAAAGTTCTGTCCTGTTGTTTTTAACTGTACCTCTTTTGTGCTGGGAAGACCCAGCACATTTCAAGAGCTAAATTTCATTTCTGTCAACGGAAAGATCCTTAGAAGGCTTGAAAGAGAACTGTATTGGTGTCCTGTGGGCATTACTGGTGTGCTGATGTGACCTCTAAAACTGCATATGAATCATGTCTTTGAGCTGTTGCCAGGTAAAATATCGTTATAGAATTATAACAAAAAGTTCTAGTACGCTGGCTAGAAAAGGTTAAGGTTTTTCTTTTCTTATGGAAATTTGAATATTAATTGATCTTCTTCCATCAAAAGCAGAACAGCTGAAAACTGGTGAATTTTGGCTTAAGCCTATGTCAAAAGAAATTAATATTTTGTTATATTGTTTCATTTTTAATGTGTCATATTTTATAGGGAGAAATCTTTAGTCATAAAAGAAAAATGGAATTTTTACATAAAAGTAGTCAAAATGGTATTTTTCTATTTTAAAAAGTTGATAAAAGTAATTTTGATCAGTTTTAACGTTGCAACCTATGGTAAAATACTTAGTAAATGCAGTACTGCCTTGTTAACCTAAGAAGGGTCTTTTTGCTAAAGAATAATGTTTCTTATTCCCTTTCCTTTTAATCCATCTCTTATGTATTATGAACCTGTCCAATATAGCTGTTTTTTTTTTCCTAAGACAAGTTTTCAGATGAACGAGGGCACATTAGCATGAATGGAACTTCATCCTTGATGAGATGATAAACTAAAGTATGGATTAATTCACTTCTTTCTGGTACTTCAATTAAAATGTTGCAGTGATAAAAATAACAAAATTTTAATGAAGCTATAATTTTTTTAGATTATAAGGTACACTAAAACGTGTTTTGAAATTAGATGGGTTTGACACAAAATTGAAAAAAAATCTAGGACAGCAAAAGCGATGTTGGAACTTGCAAAATTCTGTGAAATGGGGTTGGTGAATATGAGCAATGCCTGAACATACAGGGGATTGCCTGTACTGCAGAACAACAGAACCACACATGCGCAAGGTTGGAAAAGACCCTTGAAGTTTCTAGTGAACTTTCCTGCTTAATGAAGGGCTAACTTGGTTATCAAAGAAGTTGTTTTTGGTACTAAACCCAATGGTCATGAATTTCAGTAGATCCCTTCTTTCAAAAAAAAGTCTGCTCATAAAAAAAGTCCTCTGTAAAATCCATTGGTCTAACTTTTGTCTGGATTGACCCACTGCCCTGACATGCTTAAGTAGAAAAGTCCTTTTTTGGGTCCAAAAGATTCAGCATTTAGCCAAATCTTGTAAACCACAAAGAAGTGAATTTACCCAGGGTTGGGGTTCTTTTTGGTGGTGTTGTTTTACCACTGCATTATGGCAGTCGATACGATTATGTACAGATGTGTACTCCAAAGCAAATGGGATATATTTTCCATACCAAAGATCCATGCAAATATATAAAGCAAAATTCAGTGGCTGTGGAAATGTGTCTCTCAAGTAAAAAAATCTTTTCTTCCTTTTTCACTGATGTATTAGATTAACACTGGTCAAGCAGACGGGACTCCTGGACTTGACCTTAATGTCGCTGAAGCATGGGAGCTGGGATACACGGGGAAGGGAGTTACTATAGGAATTATGGATGATGGTAAGTGAAGGCTGCATGCTAACTTAGTATTTTTAAGTAGCTTTTTCCATGTAATCAAGGTTAAAAAAAAACTTTAAAAAGTAATAATGGATTGTTTATAGTGGTGAGTCTACCAACCTCCGTAAGGACTTTGGGGTCTTCAGGGAAAATATGTTATAAAGACTTCACTAGGGATACTGAAGCATGGATATCCAAGTGCTGAAAATAGTTTGCAGTTATCTCTCAGATATCTTCTAGGGCACGCTGTAATGGCCATTAAGCCAAAGGAAAGACTCCCCTTGACTTCTGTAGGCACTGACTGGGGGACGTAATTGCTGTGCAAAAAGTAGTTAAGAAAACGCTTTCTGGGTTACATTATTCTCAAAGTCATACTTGGCAGCTGAAATAATTAAACGCTTTCATGCTGAATGTCAATAGAGGCCTGCATATTAAATATATTACTAATTTGAGGCTAAATTCAGGGAAGATGAAGATAAAAGGTACAATTGAAGTCACAGATGTTCTACTCTTGTATTCCTTGCTGAAGTACAGGAATTCTGTACAGTCTCTCAAGACATTTCTTTGGGCTAAATTTTGAGTGTTTTCTTTTTATGGTGACTGAATAATATTAAAAATGAATTAAAATGTCTGGATCCACATATGTTTTCTGAGGTCAACTAAGATCTGTCCTCACTTACTTCTGTTCCTCATCTGCTTACTCCTAAGACAAGGTTTTTGGGGAAGTAAGAAAGTAGACTCAGACATCTGTATATTGAGAAGAGATGAATCTCAGGTGAGGCATGAGAAGTCACAATTTCACTGATCCCCAGAGGCAGGACTTAGCTTTCAGAATAGCTAGCATGACTGCCATGGGGCTGATGACAAACTGTTTGAGCTTCAGGTCAAATAAAGCTGTTGTCCCATCAGATGCAGCTTTTAGAGAATAATTTGCCTTATATTCACTTCCAGTAACCTGGCAGAGAGCACCTGAATAACACGATGCCTATTGTGACTTTTTTTGTCCATCTACCATTTGGGATCAGTAAAGCTCTCCACAGATCCAAGGGTCTCTTCAATCTAGTGCTAAGGACCCTATGTAATGGGAGGTAATTGTTTCATCAGAATAACTGTGATAATACAACATTCTCCTTGCAGGTAAAATGGAGCATCTAATAGTGTGGTAGCTGGAGACATGGGGCAGGGTAATGATCAAAATGTAACATGAGAACGATGGCCATTTCTTTATGTGTTTTAACTGGGTATGCAATAGGTCAGCTTGTCCCATTTGAGTGTAGATCTGCTGCTTCTGTTATACCATCCACTGGGATTTGTATATTTGCCATATGTAGAAAGATACCATGCATTACAATGAGTATATTCTGCACCACTGCCCTGTTACAATGTTTAGCACAGTACAAAGGTGCGGAGCCTATGGTCAGATATTTGCTAAAATGGTCTAATCCAACATTAAAAGTTCTCTTTCATACGCATAATCCAAAATGTTTGCCTTAATGATCTCCCCAAGTCTAGTTTAGGTAATTTTCTGTCTACTTCGTTTACAATTTTCACTGGATAAAAATACTCCTTTTTATACCCCGTACTGATCCAGTGCTTACTGATCTTGTTAGTTTTGGTATGCTTTGAGATGATAGAACTTGTATAAAGATAAATTGTGATTTCAACTAACCTTAATAAGTAAATATTATCCTACAAAACAGGTCAATAAATTTTGTCACTGAGCTCAGATTTTTGGTTGGCACCTGGATTTTGGTATAAATGATTGAAAACTCCCAGTGGGGACTCCATCAGAAATGGTATACCAGTTTAAAAGTCCACTTCAAAAACTGGAACCTCACTTCAATCGGTTGCATTATTTGCCATGATCATTTTGCTGTGGTTGCAAAGGAATCGTGTTCTGTCATCATTAGAAAATCTTTTTTGAAACTCTTAACCTTTGGTTTCTGTTCTGTCATTATCTTATTGCAGGAATTGATTATCTGCATCCTGATCTTGCATCAAATTACGTAAGTACATGCTGACCTTTTCTGTAAAATGTGGATTTTCTTATAGTCCCTCTGCTACAAAATTTTAAATAATGAGTGGAACAACAGTACAGCTGAACTGCTGATCTTACAGACGATACATTTCATGCTGAAAGAAGCAGACTAAAAATGGGACTGCCTGTGCAAGGAACGGAAAGGTGACAAGGCTCTTTGTGGAGGAATGACGGTGCTGTCTCACATTAAATAAGCTGTAGCTTGCAATATTGGATTTAGGACAGAAATGAGTAACCTGGGAATTGGCTCTAAATCCTGCTATTAAGATGCAGAAGGCACCTGTCACTTGAAGGGCCACGGGGCTGTGGCAAGGCATGTATTAGCCTTTGAAACCTCCAGGAACAGCTTAATTCCTTTATAACAGGTGATTTGATCCAGTGCTTCAAAGCATGTACAGGGCAGATTGTGTATTCTCAGCACATGCTGTGTCAATTGATTGTTCCTCAAACCTACGTCAGGCTTCAGACCTTCGGACTAGCGGATTTTAATCTATCTTAATTCTTCCAGGCTCTCACCACTCCTGCTGTTGATGCTAGCACTCGGATCTCCAGGTGCCTACAGGGGCTCCAAGCACGCATGGGCTGTAGGTTGCCTTTGTGGTACACTGCTTTTGTGCCGTGCTTGTGGCAGTCCATCCGGCGATGGGTGTCAAGAAGCTGCAGCTCCTTGCGGGGGAGGGGGGTTGCAGTGGCCTTGCTTTAGGTCTTGTTATTCTCCTGCAGTCAGTGGCTTCCTGAGGGAAGCCCAGGCTTCTTCAGCTGGGCAATGTGGTTTAGTTTGCAATTGCAATTAAATGAAAAGAAGAACAAAGACAACTGGAAATTTTGGTAAAAACATGAGCCATTCAGATAGAAGAGCTCCAATGAGAAACATACTTGTATTTTGGGAAATGATAACACACAGGATGAAAACCTATTTGTGGTTGCAAGTAGCAAAGCACATTTGGTAGAGAATAAATGGATATAGAAGGTGTTTACTCTGGACAAGGAATTTGGGAAATAGCTGACCACAGAGGTAAAGTGCAGGGTAGGCAGTTTCACTCCTTAGTAACTGGCTTAATAACTTACTAGCAGCTAATTAAACCCTGTGCCTTGACTGCAAAATTCTCTCCCAGGAAGAATAACTCAGTAGGATGTTCCCATAAATTGATATAAATAAAGAAGTTTGTAAAAGGTAGCCTTTTTCTTCGCAGGAATGTGCGTGTTCTAGCATATGGTCTGGGCAAACCACTCATTCTTTACTCGCTTTCCAGCAGCAGGTGTGGAAAAAGTACGTGGGAACATTCTGGTTCTAAAAATCACGTTTCAAATAAACAAGCAAAAAGTCTGTGCACTGTATCTGATACAATGTCAAATTGGAATGGTTCCGTTGTTAACGGTGAACCTAGGATCACGCCCAGAAACCAAAAATAGATTTCTCAGTAATGCAGTGTTTTCTCTTTTAATTCTAAAAATATATTCTGTATGGTGGATAAATATTTGTCAGGCTTAGCAGAAATGTATTGGTTTTAGAGTGGCAATAGTGAGTACTCTGGAAGTTAATGAAAAATGACACAGAGAATGACAATGCACAGACAGGATGCTGGAAATCAGAAAACAGTGGAGCTGGAGAGAAATCTGAGAGTTCAGAAAAGAAATACTGGGATGAAAAGTGGAGAAGAGCAGCTGTCTGGATATGGGGACAACAAACCTTTAATAGCAGCCCTGAAAGACTTGTGAGGAGGCTGACCTTGAGATGAGAATCTGAACAGGTTGTGTAGGAATGACTCTGTCCAAGCAAGGAGCAGTCCAATAGTGGAGCCATGATCAGGCTGTGGAGGGACAAAAGAAGATTGTCTGGCCAATGCAATATGCAGAATGAGGCATGGCTTGTCCAGGGCAGATCAACAGCCAGACACGGGGGAGGAAAGGCTGAGGAATGAGCGGCTGGTAAGACAGTCATTAAAGGAGCAGCAGAAACCCCATCTGAAAGATGGCAGGCTTAAAGGAGATACTACCCCAAATATAGAAATACAAAAATACAATCTATCACGTGAAATCAGTGGTTCTAGGCTGTCACATCACTGGGGGTGGCGGGGGCAGGGGGGAAAGCTTGAGTTTGTATAGTCATCTTTTTTGCCTAAGGTTCACTTTTAATTCCATGCTGAATATACCAGAGGATGCAGCAAGGAAATGTGCTGATAAATGAGCACATTATATGCAACATAACCAGGAATAGGTGCTGGCACCTCCCCGTGCAGGGCTGGCTGCAGTTGCTGTGGCTGAGAGGTGGCTGGCTGAAGGGCAAGGGTGACTGCTGCTCCCACTGCTAAAATCTGCCATCTCCTCCCTCGCCCAAGTACAGCGCAGCGGTTGCAGGGCTTGGTTCAGCTGCACTTTGCCTCTCCCCCTCTCGCCGCAAGGCTATGCAGGTGTCCTAGAGTCCTAGGAGATCCTGCTCTGACAGCGTCTACTGTGTCTTGGAGACCATGGGGACCTTTTTTCCCAGTAGGTAGTAATTTGGGCATGAATTAAAGACAAGGACTTAAATTCAGCTGAAGGAACGATCAGTTTAGACCTAAAAATACAATGAAAGAGATCTCTGGGGAATGAGTTGTTAACTCACTTCGGGCTGACATTGCAATTGCAGTCACCCTTGTACGATTCCTGTACCACATGTTTGGTATTTCGTGACATTTGCACTTGGGGGCAGCTTTCCTTTAAGTTTCATTGTTTATTTTTAGGAAATTAAAAGCTTACAGCTTGTGTTTCTCAAGTGTGTAAATGCCTGCATACCCTGGCAACATCTGTACATCTTGCTTGGAAAATTGGGAACAATTAGAAAGTCTCTCAAAGGTGGTGTTTTTGGCACTGGACCATTTTCAAGTATAAAAACTTGGCTTTGATTACTCAGTTTAATTTGGCTTTTATGTTTTTGACTTGCTGGTTTTCTTGCTTGAATAGTTTAATGGGGGTTAGCACTTAGACAAAATGGGGGGTCAGGGAAGAGAAAGAGCTTTCTAAAGGAAAAAACATTTTGTATTTTCTTCTAAAAATTGCTGAACTATGACCTATCATATGGCATGCACTCTATCCATATATTTCTTTGCAGTTTCTGAGCTTTACTGCTTGAACCATCCATTTCTCTTTTTAATACACTTCCTATACATGGAAAGGAGTGTGCCTGCTCTCCCAGCCCCCCCCCCCTCCCAGCTTGCTGTAGTACAGCTACTTGCTTTTCTGGGATCAGGGGGTTATGGGAAAGCTGGAATTTTCCATTCTGCACTGTGAATGCAGAGAGACTCATTGTCAAACGATCGATATTTTCTTCCAGACCTTGGAAACCCTGCAGAGGTTCAGCCTTCAGGAAATTATTTTTGCCCACAAAGAGAACCCTTCATTATGAACTGATAATTAAAAAGCTGAAGCCTAACATGCTCCATGGTTTTCTTTCAGCTCAGACTGTACATACAAAGCCAGTAATTTTCAGGACTGACTTCTCCAAGACACAGCATCTGAGCAAGAAGGAGAAGTGAAGTAACCAGGGCTGCATATTAGATGAACCATGCTGCTTTGACCCTGATGATCTGCCCCACAGAAATCCCAGCTGATGTAATTGCCCAAGTCAAATAGAGTTCACCTATAACTGGTGGTGAGAAAAACATTGCCCTTCCAAGACAGAAATTTGTTGGAAACCCTCTGAAGACCTTGAAAAGCTCCCAGTGTCTCAGCACTGTCATTAATATCAGCCCAGGGGATCCATCTGCCAAACCATAGCAGAGTCGGGTTCATCCTTGCCTGGCGTCAGCAAATTATTTCAGTCAGCTTTACAAGATCTGATTCCTTCGGCATGATTTTCAGAAGAGCCTGAGACAGTTGCACTGCCATTTCCTACTGCATTTCAAAGGGTTATTGTGCACATGCCCTAGACACTTAATGTCAATAAAGCTTTACTGCTAATACATCAAAGGTATTTTATGGGCAAACTCTGCATGCTGGCCATTGATACTAGAACCTATTTTTAATTGCAATGTTGAAACAATGCTTGCGTTATTACAAAATAGGGGACAGAATAAACTGTTTCAGGTGTTTCAACACTAACTGGGTTTTAGATTGTTTGGTTTCATTTGGTTTTTTGGTGTTGCTTTGGGGTTGGGGTTTTGCTAGTAGGTTTTCTAAAATAAACACTAGCATAACAATTAAAAGTTATCAACCAAAAACTGGGATAAATTCACAAACATCCTTCTACTAACACTGAAAATCTAGTAGGAAGACTGTTTGATGGATGTCATTAAAGTAGATTGTGGCAGAAACTTCATCAAGAAATTGTTGAGGCCAATGAAACCTCTTTTTTTGCTAGGATAGAAGGATGGATCAAGTGTTTAAATGCCAGGTGGGTTGACGCCTTAGCAACTGAAACTGATGGCTGGCTGTTGGGCTGTTTACGCTGCTCAGGTGGCTTCTGGCAGCTAGGAGGCTGGTTTTAGCATTTAGAAGATGATCATTCAAGACATGCAAGACAATGAAGTTTCACTGGAATAAATTAGAAGTTACTGGTAAGAGAATGAAGTGGTTAACCTGTTCCAGGCTTGGCTATTTTTTTCTGTCATTCTGTGCAGGAGCTTCCGGGCTCATCTCTCTGTTCTGTGCAGTCTGGGTTTTTAATCTGCTGAAAAAGAGATGATGCCTCCTGATAAGGTCAGCCAGGCAAATGAGGTTCTCTGTGTACTTGGAAGGCTGTGCTGGGTTTACCACGTACCAAAAATGTTTCTCATCTTGGAAGACATAATGGGGTCCCACAATCAGTTCCCTCCTCCTCCCCTGCTCCTGACAGTAACTGGGTTTGCAGGTACTTGTTAGAATGGAGCTCACATGCCGCAGCCTAAATAAGATGACTGTAGAGTTCCTCTTCTCTGCCTTATAGTGACTTAATGCGAGCACTGCTAACGGGAGAGAGAAGCCATGGTACTGTGTAAAGGAGATGTCCGT